TGCAAAAGGGGGCGGGCTACAACGACGAACTGCTTGTGGGAAAGTATGCTTTGTAAATCTGCTTTCCAGGCCAACTTCAGATATGTCTTTACATCACCTGTCTACTTGCTGTACCAACTCGTTTCATTTCTTTTTCAATTCCAAAAGCAACTTTGATTGTTCGCTACATGTCATGCACACTTCTAGGTGCTGGGGCCTATAAAGACAAAGTGACACACTCTTTCCCTTCTCAGAGGTTTACATCTAATGGAAGACACAGAGCCATAAACCAGCACGTGTAAACCTATATGACAGGGGCTAAAAGAGCCGTTCAGGGTGCTCTGGAGGAAAGTCCATCTTTATCATGAAGTGGTCAGAAGGGTCCTTTTTAAGAACTTGGTCTTGAAGAGTGAGAATTATATGAGTAGAGGGGGAAAAATAAGGTTTAAAGTAGAGAGAATAACACCTGTGAAATCCTTGCAGACAGTCCAATTGTTGATATGACCAGAGCGGGAGTGCTGGTGGGCAGGGATGGAAGATGAGCCAAAAGAAGTAGGCAGGTGCCAATTCATGCAGTACCTGGGACACCAAGCTGTGGAATTTGAGAGGAGCCACAAAGCTCTGGGGAGCCCCTGAAAGATTTCAACCAGTGGAGTAAGAAAACCAGATTCACGCTTAGCAGAGATCATACTGGATGCAACGTGAAGAGATGGGAGGAACTCCAGGAAAGAGGCACAGGGATGAGTTGGAAAGCTTGTTTCCAGACCTGGGTGACGGTGCAAACAGTGGTGATAATTCCTGACACAGGGAACGTGGGAGGAGAAGCAGGCTGGCTTAGAGATAATAAGACATTCTGAACCTAATTATTTTCCCGTGAGTTCTCAGTATCCCTCCTTTAACATGTTAAGAAGAAGGGAAAATATATACAAGTGATAAAGAGTGGATATGATAATGCTTGTGTTTATATTCTGTTTCTGAACAGAGCATAGGCTTCCAGGGAACTATGTTTATTGGAAATACACAGAAACAGGAGAGATGAAAACTAAGCTTTAACCCCTAGGGGTAATGGTAGTGACAGCCACCCATTCTCACCCCTTTCCTATAGTCTCCACTCCTCAAGATTTCAAATGATAGAAAAGCACTTCTTCACAGTCACTCCATGGTGATCTTTGAGGGGGAAATATCTAAGTCTCTGTCAGGGTTGAATGAGCTCATGGAGAATATCGTTTTTACTGTGGTACACTTGCCTTTTGCCAAGTCGTGTCTGTTATGCCAAAACTCTCATTAGTAGATGACACACACGGGGGAAAAGCAACTCATCCACCACTTCGAAATGGATTTCTTATCTGCTTCACTGCAGATAAGGAACATTATTGATCTTATTAAGGTAGTTCAATTAGCAGAGCAAACAGATTCCTAGACTGGAGAAGAGGCTAAATGACTTTTGTCCTTGACCTAGAGAAATTACCTAGGCAACCAGTACTTAAAGTTTTTCTGTCTCCTAAATGAGCCTGGTCACTGATGCACTATCTAAGTGAGTGGGTCTGATACGGTTTGCAAACCACTGCTCCAAATATGAAGATTGTAGGCAGTTTTTGTAAACAGATAAATTTCATTTGCTTCCCCTACCCCCAAATAGGGTAAGCAGAGACTTTGAAAAACATTGTGAGATTGAAGCAAAATGTACAATATCTCAGCACATGAATGTTAGTAATTTGAGGAAACTATACATTGTCATAATAAATAATGCTTGATGACAAAAATATTTGGTTATTTTACAGCATTGCTCAAATGGGGAAATGGCATTTATTATAACACTTTCTGTTTACTCTTCTGCAGCAAGCAGGCTTGCCTGCCTGCACACATAAAAAGCCAACTCTATAATTTAAGGAGAAAATAAAAATGGTGGAAGGTCATGGGAGTGACTCATGGGAATGAAGGGTAAGATGATAAGGAAGCTAGCTGGAGAGAGACAGGGAAAACTTAACTCTGGGGACCTGGGTAGTTGGATCCGACATGTCTTTTCTAGGGGGGCAGCTGAGAAAAATGAGTTCCTTATCAAGACGAGTGACAGCTTTTATAAATGATGTTCAGGGAGGAATGAGCCTGCATGAAAAAGAGTGATGTTTACGAAGAGGGAAACATGTCCTTTAGAACTCTTGAAGCAAAGTCAATCAACATGCATATACTTTAGCTAGTGTTGACCCCTTGATGAATTATACCACTTTAAAACTGGAAACAGCCCAGCGAATTTTCTATCTACAGAACATACCTTAAAGGAAGACAGCATGAAGAATAACAATAATTTTTAAACCTGACTGTTCTACCTTGATATTCATCAAAGTAATGCAAAAGTGTGGGTTAAGTTGTGCAATGGTAAACTTAATGAGGCTGGCAAGTCACAAGACATCATTGTGGGGGGCAGGGTGGAGGAAGAAGAAGGAAACCTACCTTTTAATTGGAAAAATAAAACTTGATTTGGGCAGAATTTATGATGAACTCAAAACTAGATCCTTTCAATGTGTGTCAAATGTTCTTAAAATAAATACCTTTTACAGGACATGATGATGCACAGCCCCAGCTAGTGGATAATTTTACTTAACTGCTATTTAGTTCAACAAAAATTTCAGACAATTAATTGAAGTGATGCTTTAGTGTTCATTGTCACGGAATTAAATCCATAAGTCTTGATGTTGCAATAATAGTTTATAAGAGCGATTGCATGAAATGAAGTATGTCATTTTCCTAACATCACAATAGGGAAGGAGAGTTTTCATTTTGAGACCGTCTGCTCAATCTCTCACTTATTATCTATGTAGTTTAGGCAAGCATTTTAAACTTTTTAATTTGCAATCTCATACAAAAGGAGGCTAGTAATGAATTACCAGCCCTGCCTATCTCACAGGATTGTGAGGTACACCAAGCAAAATGATTGGTGGTAACATCACTTTGCAAACTCTACTGTACCCTATACAAACATCTAAGGATTAATTATATTTAGGTTGACATACTATTTAACAATAAACTTCAGGAAAAAAATTATGATGCTTTGGATTTCTTGACCAGGGCCCATAAAAGTAGTATTAATAGAACGTAACATTCATCACAACCATTTGGAAAAATATTTCGCAAACCAAAACAACTTTTGTAAAGAGTTAATGTCAATGTGCTAAGTTTATATTGTAACCCTTAAAGGAAGTAATTTACATCTGTAATGTATCTATCTCCATAAACGATTTCTTTTTTAAGACCATGTGAAGTAGCACTAAAAAACTAAATAAATAAAACTGTAGTTGTGCCACCAACTTTGACACGACGGAGCATGAGCCTAATTAACAATGCACACAAATATGATCTCCCGGTGTTGGAGAGTGAGCTCAATGCTTAACTGTTCTGAAAATGATAGGATATGTTTCCTTTAGGCTACATCACTGCAAATTTTTTTTAAATTGCCCTTTAATAGAAATCATACTGTATTTTTAGTCTAGAGAAAACAGTATCTGTGGGAACCACCTCTCCCACCCATGTCTTGGCAGTGGAAACTAGTGTCTCAGATCAAGACTGTTTACTGATCCCCATGGCAACAGTGTGCTTTATCTTGCATAACTCCTAATATCATAAGGACCCAGTGGTTCTTTAGTATAGTATCTCAACCCTAAAGCAACAGTCTTGACGGAAACTAGAAATACTTTTAAATAGAACCTTTTTTAAATAAAACATTGCTATAATACTAGAAAGTCTTTAGTAACCTCTTCACCAGATTTTCATTTTGGAATAAACCTCTGCCGTTTCTGAGTAAAGACAGTGGACCTTTCGAAGAAGTCACTGAGTTAAGGTTGTGCCATTGGTTACGTGGCGGAATAATGAAGTGGGGTGTAGCCCATATTGGGACTGAGACTTTGAATGCTTTCCCCACACTTGTAGCAACACTCAATGGGGACACTACCCAGGCGCATGGATTGCCCAGGCTTAGGGACCATTATTCTTTGTTTTTCCAGGTTTGTGACAAGAAATTAAATCTCTGAACGTTTCCACAGTGAGCCTTAGTCCCTTTCCAGGATGCTCCATGTGTGAAAGCACGCTGGCTAAGGTTCCAAATAACAACACAGAACGACTGGGTTATACCCAGAAATCACACTGGAGTCCTTAGAAGGAAAATGCTGTATGAATACCAAGCTACGGTATTATGATTTTATCTCATGGTCAGGCCTGACACTTTGCAAACCTACAGGATTACACACACCTTTTAATAAAGTTAGTATTTCACAGAACACACTTCATACGACTACATTATAATTTTTGCTTGAGGGTGTAGATGGTGGTATAGATGTTCTACTTCTTTTGAAAGCTTCCCCTCCAATGTTTCAAATTTCAGCAGGTGAAATTGAAATACTTTTTATGCTTCAGAGCCAATCCCTTGTATGATTTCAAATGATTGTTAAATCAGTGTTGAGTAAGCTGCAACTGGCAGTGTCATTCACTGATTATTTTTCAGTAGATATTTAACATGCCTATGCCTGTTAACACCCCCTTTTGGTCATGAAAGCATTGGAAGCCAACTCTTTCTCTCGGTTCTCTCTTGAAGGCCTGCTGTTCTTTCTCATTTTTCAAATGCTTCAGGAACAAATAAAATAACTTGGCACTGTCGTTAGTAGGGGTGTTTCAATACTCCGGACCCACTGATTGTGCTCTAAATATTGTAATTTGCCTCTGCCCTTTGCATTATAAATGCAACTGGATGAAAAAGAGTGTTGTACCTCTAAGCATAGTCAGGAGAGTTCCAGAAACTGTAGAGGCCGCCCAGGCTCCAGCTTGCCTCCCAATGTTCTAAAATGAGTGCCTTTTTTTTTTTTTTAACTGAAATTGTCTAGTGCGGGTGCTAGTTGGGAAGGACTAAGTGAAGCAAACAAATTTAGATCTTATTGAGGTCAGAAACTTCATCTTATTCATGTTTGTAGTCCATGTGGTAAGTGACATCAGTGTCTTACACAGCTATATGAACAAAAAAAGACAAAGAAATATAAAGAGGAAGAAGGCTTTTATTTTTAAAAATATATATTGATAAGGAAATCCTAAACAAAGCACAAAGCATAGGTTTGGGGAATATTGCTTATATAGTCATGTGTCTGTCTTTATGTGTCTGTGATAGGTGTGTGTGTGTGTGATACAGGAAATATGGCTATAAAATAATGAGGCTTCCAAAGCACATATTTTGGATAATATAATTGTGTTGCAGTGAAGTTCAATTAAATATGTCATGATAAAGTACTTTGCAAACTCCTAAGGCGATAGCCAAATATAAAATGTTGCAATTATACATTGTTCAACAATACTTACCGAGCAGCTTCTATGATCTATATCAATAAAATAATAACATTGGTAGGGACCAGGAAGAATGAAATGACTTTGTCCATAACTATACAACCATAGAAAAGGGAGAACAACGAATATAGAAATTGGTGGCAGACTGTAGAGGCAATGTATACTAAAGGCCATTTAATGATGAGGCATTCTTATTTAACAGGCAATTTGGCTTTGAAATAATATTGTTTGTTTTTTTCTGAAAGAACCATTTTTTTGTTGTAATTTCAAATCATGACAGCTCAGAAGCTGTCATTAAAACAGGAATGAATTGAAGAACTGTTTTCCTTCTCCACAGATAGTATTGCAGTCTATGGGTGCAGTGTGAATGCGGCAGTAGAAAGAGTCATGAAACAAGACAAGTTCTCAATAACTTCATGCCTGATGTCACTACTGATTGTGTTGGCACTTTTTCTCAGCTACAGTCACTCAGTCTCACAGTTGGCCTATGCTTCTCATTCAAAATAAACCTTCAGTTCTTGATTGTTCCGTATCAGGTTGCTGCCATGTCCAGCTATTTCTTGATCCGAACATGTTGCTTTAAGATTTGCTTCTCTACACCCTGGCAGCAAATTCACAGGCACAAAAATACTTTGACATATCTTCTTATGCTTACCAGTGCTATCTGAGCCTGTAACAAATTAAAAACAAATCACAATGACTAATGTTATTGAACAGGGGTAGTTTCCACTTACCTATATCTGTGGATAAGAAATTTGGTCAGCTTTGAGGACCAGAGATTCTCCATTGTGGTTAAAATTGTACATGCAAGATGAAAACACTGAAGAAAAGCAGAGTGACTTACTGAACTTATTTCCTTCAGAAAGAAATCTCATTAGCATACCTTGTAAATAGTTCTAAACTATCTTAAATAAGATAAGCTCTGGTTTGGAACAATATAGATCTTCTTGTAATGTCTGTGCATTTTTCTAACCACTTGCTGTGTCCCTTTCCTGTGTTGATGAACGGCTTAGAGGATCTATATAACAATTTATGGGCTTAGATGGCTGTAAAGGGTCTCCAGACATGGTTAGTTCCTAAGAAAATGTTTAGTAACAAGTAATGTTTACAAAGCCTCTTGATTTTCCTTTGGTACCAATGGCCAGGTGTGTTTGGATAAATGCTTCCTTGACTTTACAGCTTCACCATCGCCACTCAATTCTCCCAAGTTAGTCCCAGCCTTTCAGGCTCCAGCAAGCTTAACAGGATACCTCCTCATCCATCAGTGCCTGTAAGTCCATCCCTCCTCCTGCCAGAAAAAAAACGTTTTTCTGGGGCCCAACTAGGGTATATAGAGTGAAGGGTACAACATTGCAACTTTCTCTTTCTACTCAGATGTTCAACAATTCCCATCAAAATACCTTAACTTTGCTTACCCTAATTTCAGCTCATCTCTTCAAACTCTGCTTACTATAACTACAAAAAAAAAATCTTCGTTGTACTTTATTTTAACATTAATATCTCTGCCTATTATATAGAGGTAAGCAGCCCTTGGACACAATAATGCAATAATGCTTAGTTACTCTGTCTACATAGGAAGCTAGAATAGACTTTAAATGATACGCTATTATAATTAGTAAAACCTTTAAAGCACTGATTTTTTTTTTGTAAGTAGCTGGTGTCAAATAATCTTAATAACAGCAAAATCTGAGTGGATTAAGGGAAATATCAATTCACAAATAATTCTTTAGAAAGTTATGTATTTAGGAATAACACACATTGTTAGGTACTATTGTATAAACAGATTAGGCTCAGTGACTGAAGACAGGAATATTCTAATCCATTTATAAAGGAGAACCACCAGAGCTTCCAGTCAAGATTGCGGAGTAGGTAAACATTGTGCTTGCCTCCTCTCATGACCATATTAAAATTATAACTGAACTACAGAACAACTATAATTGATAATCGCCTGAAATCTAGCTGAACCAAAGCCCTACAACTAAGGACAATACAGGGCAAGCCACCTTGAGATTGGTAGGAGGGTCAAAGATGTGGAAAGCGCTGGTCTCAAACTTGCGTGTGGCAGTTAGAAATTGGAGGGGTATCTCAGCAGGAGAGGTCCCACTAGGGAGCTCAGGGTCCCAGCCCCACCCCAGGATCCCCAGCATAGGGTTCCAGTGCCGAGAAGAGAAGTCAAAGGGACATGTGCATCCATATGTTTATTGTAGTATTATCTACAATAGCCAAGATATGGAGGCAGCCTAGGTGTCCATCAATGGATGAATGGATAAAGATGTGAAATGTCTATATCTATATCTATAATGAAATATTACTTAACCATAAAAAAGAATAAAGTCATACCATTTGCAACAACATAGATAGACCTAGAAGGTATTGTGGTGAGTGGAGTAAGTCAGACATAGAAAGAAAAATGCCATATGATTTCATTTATATGTGGAATCTAAAGAACAAAATAAATGGACAAACAAAACAGAAACAAACTCATAGATACAAAGAACAATTTGAGGGCTGCCAGATGGGATGGGGATGGGAGGAAGTGTAAAACAGGATAAGGGATTAAGAAGTACAATTTGGTTGTTACAAAATAGTCATGGAGATATAAAGTACAGCATAAGGAATATAGTTAATAATATTGTAATAACTATGTATGGTGTCAGATGGGCACTAGATTTATTGGGGTGATCACTTAGTAAATTATATAAATGTCTAATCACTATGTTGTATACCTGAAACTAATATAATGTTATATGTCAACTATAATTTTTTTAAAATATTGAAAAATAAATAAATATTTATATTTTTTAAAAGAGAATCATTGGTCCCACTAGAGAGCAACACTAGTTGAATATTGTTTTGTTTGTTTTGCTTTGCTTTTTAAATGAGATACAGAACTAAACTCTTGAATAATTACAAAGTACTACCCCCACAGTTCTTGCTTTCTCCTACAGGGAGGACTTTGTGTGCCATGTAAAGACAAAATATCATCAGTGGACACTTATGATGGGCTAGAGACCTTGGAACCTAGAGACCTATGAAACCAGTCCGGGCTTTCTATTCTGTTGTTCAGGGCCTCTTAAGCAGACAGTTGAACAATCTCCTTGCAATTTTAAAAAATGTATATTACTTGCAGGTCTTAGGACATGAGTTTGGAAAGAAGTGGAGGCAAGGGACTTATCATTTGCAGTGATGCAAAAGGACAAAATCAAACCCTGTGAAGAGAGAAAAATGAAATGGATTTACCTAAGATCATCTTCCTGGATGCTACAGTTAAGGTCAAATTTCAGTTAGGGTCAAATTTCCAATGGTGACTTCAAAGCACCAGATCATGTAATCTGAAATGAAAGGATATATCACACAAATAATCAAATATTTTAACAATAAAGACACCAGGTGGATGAAATATTCTTTTCATATAGGGCTATTAGAATTATTTAAGATATCTCCTGGACACAATCTGTTATGATTAAGTAGGATGGTTCCACTTTCCAATGCGCTGGGCAGAATTTAAAATGCAAGTATAAATTTTGCATATAAACATAAGCATGGCAGATCTATTTTTAAACTAGCTGAAGGCCCAATGCTTCATTCTGACTAATGATTACATCCTCCTCCTCCTCTTTCGTGTCCTCCTCCACATGCTTCATATTAGATCAATAGTTAAAGATGTCCTTTTAGAAACAAAGATGATATTAAGTATTTCCTTCCATAGGGTAGCAAATGAGAACCCATCAACCTCCTTGTATCTATAAACATCTGATTTTATAATTGTTTGAATATCCTATTATCAGCAAATCTCATCATGTTTTTTTTTAATTGAAATTAAAAAAAAAAAGCCATGATAGCAATACCCATACCAGACAAAATAGACTTTAAAACAAAGGCTATAACAAGAAACAAAGTGAGCCAGGCGAGTGGTGCATTGGTTAGGAGTTGGCTTGGGATGCTGGCTCTGAACAGCAGGGCCCTAGTTCGGATACCACATGAGGGCCAGTGACGCTGAACCCTCTGCAGCTAAGATGGTGAACAACAGCTCGACCTGGAGCTGGGCTGCCGTGAGTCGCCGGCGACAGCGTAGGCTGCAGTGGGGCTGGCCATGCAGTGGGCATGAGCTTTTGTGAGCTGCTGTGAGCCGCTTTGAGCAGCCGTCCGTCCAATGGCCGGCGAGTGACTGCCTCACCTGGGAAGAGCGCAATGATAACACCAACATGGGCCAGTGAAATGATGTCCTCCACAACTAGACTGAAGAACTAAAAGGACAGCAAGTTGTCTGTTCCCCTTCCCCAACTCCCCAACGCTGTTCCCCTCCTGAATTCCCCAATAAAATATTTTAAAAAAAGAAAAGAAAAGAAACAAAGAAGGACCTAGTAATCCTACTTCTGGGTATTTATCCAAAGAAACACAAAAAGTCAATCTTATAAAAAATTGCAGCTGATAGTGCCACAGCTCCTTCATTGAACAAAACCAAAATTCTGAGCCTGCCACGTGAGGCCCTTTGTGTTTTCACTCTCCTCTTCAATCACCCTAAATTTCAGCCAAAGTGGACCCCTCACAATTAGCCAAACATTCTGTATCATATTGCTTCTCGGCTGTTACTCAAACTCTTGTCCACCTGAAATTCCTGCCTTCTCACTTACCATTATTTAATTAGGAATTCAGGACTTAAGTACTTGTTCCTTGATCTGTGCTGTATCAATGCCTGTCTCAATTCTATCCCTGCTTCAAGATTGAATAGTTTAATTCAAAGCCATGCAATTATTCTGTGAAATCTTGCTTTATCTTTCTGATCAAGAAGAATTTATTCATCCACCCATTCAGTCATTTATTCAGTTAAATGTTATACTGAACACCTATTGTATGCTAAGTCTTAATGATACAAGTACAAATGAAATCTGCTCCCCGACTTTATGGAACTTGAGGCCTAACTGAAAAGCAAATCAATAAAATAGCAATTACCCTATAATTATAAAGTGGAATGGCAGAGTTGTACAAAGTGTGCTTCAAAAGCCTAAACCATACTGGAAGGGCCAGCATCTTCATTCCAGAGGAGAAAACATCTGGAATTCATGGAGGAAAGGCATAGAGGAAATAGCATAATGAGTGTCAAGAAAACTAAGGTTTTCTAAGTGGTCAGATTGCACATGCACTGCAAGTCATTTGTAGTGCAGTGACTTCAATGAAAAGACTTTAGTGGGTGAGTGACCAGAGATGAGATTAAGATATGGACAGGGAATAGATCTTAAAACATTCCCAAAAACTAAGTTAAGAAATTTATACTTCATCATCAATGGTTTGGGGAAGTATTGGAAAAATCTGAACAGGAAGTGGCAAAATCAGAATTTGGTTTTGAATGGCACCATCATGCACCCAAATACTTAAGCCAGAAATCCAAGAGGCAGACATGCCTCTCTCACAATCTCTCATATTTAATCTACCAAATCCCAGACTTCATTGTTAAAAATATCTGGGCTCCATCTACTTTTTCCCCCCTCTGCCACCACAATCTTAAAGCAGGACCAACCAAGATGTCTTCAAGAACTTTGGAAGAATATGTTAACTGGTCTCTTACCTACACAACAGTATGAATGATCTTCTAAAAATGTAAATCTAATCACATTGTACCTCTGCTTAAAATGTTTCATTGATGTAATCCTAAAGAAGATGATTAAAGAAGATCCTTAAAAGGAATTTATGTCTGATGTGAGACCCACAAGACTGACAGAAGTGAGCTCTCCAAAGAACTAAGGAAAAATCAGAATACATCATTAATAGAATGAAAAGGCAACCCAGGAAATGACAGAAGATATTTTACAGACCAGGGCTTATGTACAGAATAAAAATAAAATAACAATACAAAGCACAACTGGCAGCCCCTCCACAACAGAAAAAAGGGAAGAGTGACAAGTAGCAATAATCAAGTCCTGCTATTGACTGAACTTTGTGTCTTTCCAAAATCCATATGTTGAAGCCCTAATCCCCAAAGTGATGATATTTGGAGGTGAGGGACTCTTGAGAGGTAGTTAAGTTTTGATGAGATCATGACGGGGTTGGTTCCATTATAAGAGGCTGAAGAAAGGAAAGCTCCCGCCCTGTCATGTGAGGCTACAGCAAGAAGGTGACTGTCTGTAAACCAACAAGAGGGCCTTCACCAAGAACCCAACCCTACTGGCACCCTGATCTCAGATTTCCAGCTCCAGAACTCCTGAACTTCCATAAATGTTTGTTGTTTAAGTCTCCCAGTCTACAGTATTCTGTTTATCTTCATGAATGCTGATGTTTACCAGGTACATCAGAAGCAGGGGAATCCAGCTGCCTACCCTATGCTTGGATTTTTAAGACTTATATCCAAGTCAGAATATTACTAGCCATGGAATTATATTAAACTCACACAGTTTTGCCAATAGAGCTATCTATTTCCATTAAATCAACCATTTATAATACATTAATGAATACTACAGCCTTACAGGATTAGTGATCAATTTCTGCATTAGGTAAAAAAAGAGAGGTAATTATGGTCAATAGTAAAGAAACCAAAATTTACTAAGCTATAAATCTGTTTTAATAATGACAGCAGGTCCCCTCCTGTCCCCCAGATACCTTGCTTGCTACTTAAAAAAAAAAAATATATATATATATATATATATATATATATATATATATATATATATATATATATATATATATATATCCTGGCTCCCCATTGGTCCTAGTACATTTTAATCCCTTTGCCTTTTCATACACTGCCCTTTGTAATGTTGTCCAACACTTATTAAGTGTCCAGCATTGTTCATGTGTTAGATATAATACAATTTCAAATAAGACATAGTCCCAGCAGTCAAGGAATTCATGGTATAATTGAAGAATCAATGTAACACCACAAATTGTACAGAGAAGCATTAGCAGAATTCAGTTGGAATATGGATGAAGAATTCAAGGAAGGCTTCACAGTGAAAGTGGCTTTTAGTTTGATCTTGAAGGAGGAGCAGCACTTTGAAAAGAGAAGTAATTCTAGGTGAAAAGAAAAACATGTGCAATAGCTTAGTCATAGAGATTGCAATGATTGTGAGCTGAAGTGAAGAGTCCATTAAATTAGAGAATAAGTTACAGGGGCGAGAGTAATAGGAAATGTAACTGGGCAAGACATCGATGAAGACTGAAGTGTACCTTGGGATCACTGGGAAGCCACGGTTTTAACAGAATAATAAAAAGAGATTTGCTGTTGTTGACGATGGTATCTTTATAGATTTATATTTGAGGAATATAACTCCAATGGAAAACGAACCTATGTCAGAAGAGATTGGTATCGGATCAGAAGCTCTTTCAAGGGAAGAAATAATAAAAGTCATGAAAACAATGTTGTAAAGAAAGACTGCATTTAAGAGATACTTTAGGTAACCTTACAGAATTTGTGGTGACTTAAATGCAGGGTGGGTGCAGAAGGAACAAATGTCACGGAACTTTCCAGCTTGAGAGGCTGAATAGGTTGAACTGCTATATATGCAGAGGAAATCAATACAAGAAAGAGTGGTTTGAGTGGAAGAGTGAAGAAGTTCAGTTTCAGATGTGCTTTATTTGAGGTCATCGCACTATATCCAACAGGAAAGGTCAAATACAAATTGGAAATAGAGAAAGCGTGCAGAAGGAAGGGTGTCAGGAAGAGAGAGAGATACTTGAAAAGTAGTAGCTTATACATTGTAGTTGTTACCATGAAAATTGTTGAAATAACTCAGGAAGATTAGAGAAATAAATGAAAGAGAGAATAGGTGCCTGGGTTTTGTACCTGAGACCTAATTGCCCTTCAAACAAGGTATCAAAATTTAAAGTACAGGCCTATATTTTTTAGAAGAAAGCTTGGTGGGAATCTGTAATTTTGTAGAATGATTGTAATTTTTTTTTAAGATTTTCTTGGGGAATTGGGGGAGGGGGACAGACAAGTTGCTGTCCTTTTGTTCTTCAGTCTAGTTGTGGAGGAGAATGATTGTACTTTTATATAATGAGATATATCTGGCCACTTTTAACAAAAACTTTATCTAAGACGATAATCAGGAAAATTTGCAATTCTTATTGACTTAAATTCAAACTTGGATGTCAGCATTCAAAAATGGTGGATTGCAAAGAAAACTTCCATTGAAATTTTATTTGGTTTAAGGTAATTAATAAAATGTATTCCAATGGAGTTGATTCCCAAGCCCCAAGGTCTATTACATTTTAAGTCATTACCATAGGGTTGTAATGTCAATGCTACCACAATCTCTCCTAATTTATACATCATGTACAGCTAAATTCCACAACAGCTAAGTCCAGAATTTTTCATTGTTTTTTAAACTCTGGATTA